CCATTCCAGATGACATCTGGGAGGATTTTCTTCACCATGTTCTCTTCTTACACTTCCTAGTTAATATTTCACAGCAGCCCATTTAAGGATGTTCCTCAGAGGTTGAACAGCTTCTATGGAATAATCAGGGAAGTGTTCATTTGATTTTACTATTTAGGATTTTATTTATTGGTCAGTTGTTGGCTCATAGAAATGCCGACAGTAGGTTTCATTCCATTTCATCATAATTGGGTTCTGAGGTGCTGAGAATGTCAGTCAGGGAACAGGGGTGCTTGGAAAAGGGTCTGTTGCTCATCGTTAACCATTTAGTGACTAATTAGTCTAACAGGAAAGATGAAAAGGTATAGCACCCTCGAATTTCCTTTCCTCTACTTATGGCACTTTTTGGATTGTAAAGCATTTGTTAAAGTGTTAGAGAATGGTTAGCAGCTCAGGAAATGTGTAGAACTTGAATCATTTTGCCTTTATTCCCCTTTGTGGCAGTGCTGAGGAAAGTACTGGGGTGGGGGGTTGGGATTTGAATTATTTGTTGCTTCAGTAAAGGGTACATGTGATTTGGAGTCGGTTTTAACTTAAAGGGGAAATCCTTAGCCCACGTGTACGTGTCAGCCGTCATCCAGCATCCGTCAGTACATCTGTGCCTGTAAGCTATCGGGCTAAGTTGATGCTAAAAGAAATCTTTTTGTGTCTAATCTCTTTAGCAGGGGGAGCAATCTCAGAACTGTTATGAAGACCCCTTGAAGTTCTTCGATCTTCCCCACTTTGCCATCATGTGGCCTCTGGACGCTGTGGTCAGTCATTTGAGATTGACTTTAATTTAAAACAAAGGCCTCTGCTTCCGACCCAGGAGGTGGAAGGAATGAATCGTATGTTTGAATGAAGAAGTGAATTATGGAAGAAGAGTACATGGCCCTTCCCTTTCAAGCATAAGTCCAAATAGGCTCTCAGGAATGAGGATTTGTGAAGACATCCCACAGGAGTTTTGACTCATTCAGGCTTCAGTGCTTAGTTCTGTTGCTGGACAAAAGAGACCAGGGTTGCTCATCTAACTCTTGTACCCAGGATCATTTTGACCTGACATTTCCTGTCTCCTATTTGCCTTTCATCCTCCGTGCATGTCCTCGAGTGACTTATTCTTATCTGAAGTTTTGCTGCCGGTGTCCTAGAAAAACTTAAGTTGCATATTCTGTCTTCCATTTTTAAACTCCCTCTCTTACCAGATACCTCCTCTATTTCCATATTGTGTACAGAGGAGGGACAGAAAAGAAAGTGCTTGAAAGATTTCAAGTGTTCAGAAAGGGAAGAAAGATAAGGCTCCCGCTTTTTAACATACCCCATTTTGCTCAAGAAGCTGGGCTGTAAGAGGGTCAAGGCTTTTCTTTGTTTTCCTTGCATTGCATGGTCTCCTCCAGGGGTGGTTCGTTCTCATTAATCATGGATTTTGAAGATAGCTCGTTTCATCCATCTGCAGCAGAGAATCATCCGTAGTTCACATTGCTTCACCTGCGCTGGCTTACGGAGAGGGAAGCAGACCAACGTGCCTCTCACCGGGCTTCGTTTTTATTGGGGTGGGGGATCTATGCAAGGGACTAATATCAACCCGTCCGAAATCAAAGAATCAGCAGCAGCACAGTTCAAATCAAAGATCAAGGAAAAAAAATTTTTTTTATCATTGCTTGTGGAGATCGGTCCTTCCCATCAGTCATCTCTTCCTTCTTGTAACCCCGCTCCTTCTCCCTACTGCCTGTTTTCAGTCTCTTCCTTTCTGTGAAAGGTTGCTTAGCTTTTTAAGAAAATTTTTTACTTTCTGCTTTTTGCTTTTGCTGTTCTTTGTATAAAAAGTAGCAAATTGGATAGACGTGCATACATGAGGTGTTTGAAATTCTCTGAAGACCCAGAGTCCAGAGACCGGGTGTGGAGAGGAGGGCTGGCCAGCCTCTCTGAGCAGAGCACTCTCTCAGTCCAATCAGAGGCCCTCACCCTGGGTGGCCGTTTCTGCCGCATTCTCAAAGGAGGATTTCAGCGCTCCTGTGCTCCCTGTGAGCTCCCTGAGCCACAGGTGCCCCTGTAGCTGGCCATACATGCTGATTATCTTTTTGGATTTTAGGAGAGCAATCAAAGTAGACTGACGTCAGGAAGAGCCTCTTTCTCCCACTCCATCTTTTAGAACCAGAATGTTCAGTAGTTGAAGTAAGAGCTCCCCCGGAGTCGATTGCAAAATGTCTGTATTTTTAGACACCACTACTTTTTTCCCGTCAAATTCTTATGCTGTGAATTTCATTTTGTATTTCACATCAGACCCGTGGTCGAGATTGGCGAGTGGCTCTTTCGATGTGTTTTTTGTTTTGCAGACATTTCCATTCCATTTCTCTGTGTACTGTGCACCGTCACAAGTGGTGTGGCACTGAAGGTCTCTGCCCTGCTTCCTGGGCAAAGCCGCTTGGTGTCCTTGTGCACCGGGACGTTTATGCTGTGTCCACCTGGTAAGCCGGCTGCTGAGAGAATCGGCTTCAGCCCTGTCAGGGGGCCCCAGGCAGCAGCTCCCTCGTAATTATTTATGCTTCTGGAATTTCTTTCAGCTCCTAAAACTTTCTATCCAATTTGATTTTCTCAGTGTGTACAATATATGCATATTCTCTTCTTTTTTGTCATTCCTCCCCCCTCCCCCCATTTCGTTTTTTAATGTTCCATAGTTTTGTACAAGACGAGACTTAGCCTTGGGTACTTCTTGCTGAAGCTTTAATGCTTTGTAAATAAAAGCGGATGTTTATTAAAGCACAGGTGTAAGATGTTTGTTTGCAGACGCTGATCGCTTCTGAAACTCACCAGCCACTTGGACTTGTATGACTGAAAACGCAGTTTACTGTTGCCGTGTTAGCTCTCTCTGTGTGGAGTTGTGCACCTGGAGGGGTTAGGGGGTGGTCGTGGGGTCTGGAGTTCGGCCTCTAGACAAGATTATAAATAGTTCAAGCAGAGGGGTGGTATTAAACCACAAAGAATGTCCAGGAGTCATCTCTCTCCAGATTCTTTAATTCTGTAAGTGTAAGTGCTTGGTAGAGGCCACAGCGCCAGGAGATGCTCAGGATGCTACAGGAATGCACGCGAGGGCATTCCTTCCTCCCAAGCATCTTTATCTTGAAGTGTAAGTACCATTGAATCCCTCTTTTAAAAAAAAATTTTTTTTAAATGTTTTATTTGTTTTTGAGACAGAGACGGAGTGTGAGGGAGGGAGGGGCAGAGACGGAGGGAGACACAGAATCCGAAGCAGGCTCCAGGCGTCAAGCTGTCAGCACAGAGCCTGACTGACCTCAGCCAAACTTGGACGCTTAACCCACTGAGCCATCCAGGCGCCCCTAAATTCCTCTTTATTAGACTTTTAAAACAAGTCTAGACTAAATAAATAGGGGCACATGAGTGGCTCAGTCATTTGAGTGCCGATTTTGCTCAGGTCATGATCTCACACAGTTAGTGAGTTCTAGCCCCTCATAGGGCTCTGTGCTGACAGCTCAGAGCCTGGAGCCTGCTTCGGATCCTGTGTCTGTCTGTCTGTCTGTCTCTCTGCCCCTCTCCCACTTGTGCTCACTCAAAATTTAAACAAAAAAACAAACATTAAAATAGAGTAAATAGCTTTCAAATGCATTGAAATAGCCTTCAAAAACTCCTAAAGTCTATTTAGTATTTAAGTCTTTGATTTTAATCATTGTCAAATTGTCAAATTTTAGCAGTGTCTACTGCTAATTTTTTCTGTTCTATGACTAAGAAACCGTCTTTGACATCATAGCTGTTTTCATAGCAATCTTGACCCGTGTGAATGATGAGCTCCTCTGGTCTGTAAAGCGAGTAGGCCTAGGCGTCCTCTTCCCTAGAAAACCCCTTCAGTGCCCCTAGGAAGGAGGAAGGTGTAGGATGGGGCAGAGGAGCCCTGCGGGGCACCCCTCTCCCCCAGCTTTGCTGATAAACACTCGGATTCTGAAAGGGCGGCTTGGTCCTTGTCTTTATGAATTCTTTCTCTCTTTCTCTCTCTCTCACTCTCTCTTTCTCTCTCTCTTTCTCTCTCTCTCTCTCTCTCTCTCTTTCTTTCTTTCTTTCTTATTTTTGAACAAAGACAGAGCATGTGCTGGGGAGGGGCAGAGAGAGAGGGAGACACAGGATCTGAAACAGACTCCAAGCTCCGAGCTGTCAGCACACAGCCCATCGTGGGGCTCAAACTCCTGAACCGCAAGATCACGACCTGAGCCGAAGTTGGAAGCTTAACCAACTGAGCCACCCGGGCGTCCCCATGAATTCTCATTTCTATTTAAAATTCCTTACACGTCACCAGTGTTGCACACTTTACAAAGTGTTTTCATGTACAGTTTATTGTTTGATGCCCAAAGTGACCTTCCTGAAGTCGGCAAGGAGGTCTTAATTTACAAAGGAGGGAACAGAAATAGAAACCGAGGAAGGATCAGTCAGTTGCCTTCCCATCCAGAGTTCTTAATCCTTCTATTACAGAAGGTTAAGGAGCTTTTAAAATCAATGATAACTTAATGCAACATAATCTATTTTTTTTTTTTTTTGACTTGGTGTTTGATTTCTTAGTTGGTCAGATTTAACTGGGGTTTTGAAGCCCTTTAATTTGGATCCCACAACTCGGAGAGGAGGAGCAGGGAGTGAGGAAGAATGTAGCTTCACTACGCATTTGAGGTCATTTGGAAATTCACTTCAGCTTCTGAAGTCTCTTTGTCTTCACGAGAGGGTGGATTTAAATTCATGACAAGGGCATGAAAAGAATGGAACCTGGAACACGCAAGAACAAGTAAAGCAGCACTTTTGTGACTTTTTTGCCTGCCTTGTGGTCTTGGCTGTTTTGTAAGGACTGGACTTGTGTTTGTTGAGTTGCAGTGTTCCATTGACTGGGCGCATCCTGTCTTGTGCTGTTGAAGGCTATCTCCCATCAACGGAATTAAGCTATGACATCATAGAGGGTTCACTTGGAATGCCTTGGGGGACTGGCTGACGGTGGTGAGACGCCCAGAGACATGAAGCTTTCAGCTGCCGGTCTCCTCGGAAGCCTGGTGTTCGCCTTCTGTCTGCCTTTGGTGGTGACTTTACCGAAAACCCTGGCCATCCCTAAGAAGCTGCAAGAAGCAGTGGGGAAGGTCATTGTCAATGCCACAACCTGTACTGCCACCTGTGGCCTTGGCTATAAGGAAGAGACCATCTGCGAGGTGGGCCCCGATGGCGTGAGGAGAAAGTGTACTTCTCAGCGCTTGGAATGTCTGACCAACTGGATCTGCGGCATGCTCCATTTCACCGTTCCCAGAGGGAAGGGGTTCGAGCTCAACTGTCTGAGTTCGGACATCCTGGAGATCGGGCAGGAAGCCTTCCGGTTTACCTGGAGACTTGCTCGGGGTATCATCTCTACTGACGATGAGATCTTCAGACCCTTCCGTGCCAGCTCCTATGTTGTGAGGTTTCCCTCTGTTCAGGAGTATGACTCTGGGACATACCGGTGTGATGTGCAGCTGCTAAAAAACTTGAGACCTGTCAAGAGGCTCTATTTTGGGCTGCGGGTCCTTCCCCCTGACTTGGTGAACCTGAATTTCCATAAGTCCCTTACTGAGAATCAGAAGTTAGTTGATATGGGCCTGGAAGTGAATCTAGACAACCATTCTGAGCCTCGTCGCCCACTGTGGAAAAAGAAAGTGGTTGTAGCCTTGGGGATAGGAGTTGTCGGTGGAGTGGCTGGTGGGATGTTGATGGCCATTGGCCTGGGCTTTGGGCTGAGGGTGCTCTATAGCGGTGCCAGCCTTGAGTCCTTAACAGCCTTGAAGGGTTGGCTGCCCAGGACCCTGGACCAGCTGTTTAGGAAGCCAGGGTAGCTTTTCAAAGGATTATCTGGCTGTGTGATTGTGGCTCAGCCAGGAGGGAGGGCCTCCGCTACCAAGACAGTGAGTGGGTCCCGGGACAGGGGCAACAGCATGGCAGTGCAATGGGCACTGCTCTGCCTCTTCGTGTCCCAGGTAGATCTCTTCCTGGTCATCCCTGTCCACGTGGCACCCGGGAAGCCTGACTGTAGGCCCCTCCCCTGTCCCTGGGGAAAAGATTATGTCTTTCATAAGTTGAGGCCTCTCCACCTACATCCCTTCTGAGCGGTATAATCACGTAGAAGGATATATTAATAGCTTTTCTAGCGGAAACCTTTTCTTCTTCAATAAAAATAATTCACAGTGGCTGCGCGGAGACCTGACCTTCTCTGCTCTTTAGTTAAAAATCTGCGTATGTGTAAATTGTCCCATCATCAGCCTAGCTCTCTTTTCCCTCTGATTTCATAAGACATTGAGCACATTGCTTTGGAGGAGGGCATATGTCCGTGTGTGGCAGAGCCGAGGCCGTTAGTAATGGCATCTGACCCGGGTATGTAACAGTCACTGAATAAATTGCCCCTTGTCTACTCCCCTCGTGAAGCCTCTGGGCTCAGTGGTAAATGGACTCCTGGTAAAACACTGGATTCTTCACAAGGTGGGTTTCCCCTGAATAAGCTCCTTGGCTTGCTCCCTATTCCTGTTCTAGCTCTCGCAGTGCCCTGAAGTGTGTGCTCCCGGAAAGGTCAAGTGTATTGGTTTCTTACAGCAGCCAGGGCTGTCCAAGGAAGGACTAAGGCCTTCCTACCTCCGTAGGAAATACATCCTAAGACCCAGAGGCCATTGAGGCATGTGAGATAATTGGCTGATGGAATCGTCTTAAAAGGCCCTTAGCTAATTAACCTGAGCTAATTCGGAGAGAATTAGAGCATCTCTTCCCCTCCCTTTTCTCTAGCTGCTGACAGGGTAGCAGATGTTAAGACTTGGACTAGTGGTTCTCCAGCTATGTGTCCGAGTCACCTGGATAAGCTTTTGAAAAATAAGATTCCTGACCCCCAACCCTGAGGATGCTAACTCAGCTTAAATTATGGCTCATGGCTCACTGTTATTCTATAAAAACGATTTCAGGGGCACCTGGCTGGCTTGGTCATTAGAGCATGTGGCTCTTGATCCTCTGGGTCATGAGTTTGAGTCCCACATTTTAGCTTAAGTAAAAAAAGTTAAAATTTTCAACACCGTAGAAAAATGGGAAGAAAAGTTTGATGACAGTCCATTTGTCCTCTACTTAGATTCACCAGTTGTGAATGCTTTGCAGCATTTATCATTCTGAATAGATGCTGGTTTTACTGAACCACTTGGAAGTTAGACACATTGTGACCCTTCACTCCTAAATCACAGGTGCATCTGCTAATAAAGGTTTTTCTGTACAACTGAGGTATCTTCATCACACCTGAGGAAATGAACAATTCCCTAATCTTACATAATAGTTGATACCTCGTCGTGCCCACCTTCTAAAATCTGATGGCCTTTTGGTTTTTGATCCAGGATCGAATGAAGGTTCACCTACTACCTGTGGTTGTTTCTCTTAAGTCTTATTTCACAACAGACCTCCTGGGTTTTTTGTTGCTGTGTTTGTGTGCCATTGATTTTATTGAAAAGTCCAGCTGGGCCAGTTGTCTTGGATAGTCCCCCACAGTCCGGGTGTGTCGTCATTGTTACATGACCGGATTGCCGAGGAATGGGTCTTCCAACATTTTTGACAACAGCTCCACGCACATGATGTCCACTGCTCACCACAGGTGTGCGGTGTCAGGGTGGCTCCTTACCCATAAGCATGATGATCTGGTTAAGGTGGTGACTGCCAGGTCTCTCCAAAGGTGTCTATTTTTTTCTCTTGTAATTACCTATTTGTGGAACAATACTTTGTGATTATCTGGTTTCCTAGAAGCCATTAGTGCCTTGGAATCCATTCACAATCCTTGTTTATTACCTGCCGGAGACTGCAGAATGGCGTCTTTAATGTGCCCTTGCTGTATTTATTAGGCTGTGTTTTTCTGTAAAGAAGAGCTACTCTTTTTTTTGAGCTCTCCATAGGTTATTTTTTTTAGTGTATTATATGTAATCCATTAATGTCCTATTTTTGATGTTTAAATTGTCCCCAATTTTGGCCAGTGAGAGTCCCTTCAAGCCAGCTCTTCTCTTCCTTTTGTTGTGGTCCCATTTGCTTTGGAACGTGTCCTTGCTTTCTAGAACAACAAGATCCATATTGGGACCTTGCTTTCTCCAAGGGATTCTGGTTTCCTTGTGGTGTGGGGAGTAGTATTTAGAAGCCAGGGTCTGGGCGCTGAATGCGCTCACTGCCACTGGGGAGTCATTACACTTAGGTTCTTTCATTGTCCCAGGTACACATCAATCATGAGTTCAAAGCATCTCTTGTTTTTCAAAGCTTTATAGGTAATCCGGTATAGAGCGAAGATTGAAGACCACTGACGTATGGTCACGCAAAGTGTACAGTCTACTATCGCGCTTATTTTGAAAAGATCTTAAATTTTCCACGCACCCTTTCCCCCATTCTCCCTCAGAGGGGATGGGCTTCGGAAGACCTGGCGTGTGCTTCTGGCTCCTATTGATTGTAGTGGAGGAAGCGGACAGACTCACGTGTGTGTGAGGGTCAGAGGAGCGCAGTCCTGCGAGTAAAACCGCTGGAAGCCGCGAAGGGCCGGACGGGAGGGAGAGAGTGTTTCTAATGAAGCACGTTAGTTCGGCTCTGGGCTGTGGGCTCGGGCACCCGGGAGAGCGCTTGCTACCCTTGGCAAGACCATAAAACAGTACCTTTAGATCTAATGGACTCCGTATGATGTTGCTGAGGAGGGAGGAGGGCTCAAGAGGGACGTTGCCCATTTTACAGATGGGGGGCCAGACCAAGAAGAGTGGAGTGACCTGTCCAGCCCCTGGGTAAGCCTGTAGTCGAGCAGGGGATGGAATATTGTGCAGCTCTAGGCTCCCAGCCTTCTGTGCTTTGGGCTCTCGAATTTTGACTCTGAGGATGGGAAGGGATTGAACAGGGAAGAGGGGAGGAAAAAAAAGCCCCTCCGATGTGTTATTAAAGACCAGAACGCAATTCAGTTCATTAATGCTGTGCATGTCATCTGCCTCTGGAGGGATGGTCAAGGCCATGCTAAGACTAAAATTTGGGTTCTAGGCTGGCCGGTGCTCCCAGCAGCCCCTTTGGGTGCAGAGTGGAAGGGATTAGCCCATTGTACCACTGCCCGCACTGGCCCCTCCTGGGGGCCGGCATCCTGGGCTCATCGCGGAACGCAGAGGAGCATGCTGCGGTGCAGTCAGCATGGAGCCCTTCCCACTTGGTACGGAAAGACTTGAACACAAGGCTGTACAAGCATGTCACCGTGCGTCTCAGAGCCAACGGAAGCTTGACAAGTGTTTGTTGAATGCAGTAGAGAATGTTGCAGCTGCAAGCTGAGTAGGATCCCGATTCTCTTGGCTGCTGAGAGCAGAGACTAGAGGCAAGCTTGCTACGTGGGGCCACTGTAACCCTGCAGGGAGGTTTTCCTTTGGTACCATTGAGTCTGGAACTGTCAAATGTCTTAGAAATTGGGGAAGGCAGAAGCAATGCCATCACAAGCAGTGTTTGCTGCCCCGTGTCAGGTAAAGCCAGTGCAGCCTGGCCAGGTGCCTGCTCGTGCTCTGCTCAGGCCTGTCTTAAAGCCCCTTGGGTCAGTTCTTCCCCCTCCCAGGGATGCATGAAGCAGGTGGGACTCTGTCTTGTTCCTTCCTTGGAGCTAACTGTGTGAAGGGGAGGGCATCAGCTCCAAGCCTGGGGTTCGAGAACAGGTCAGGAGGCATGCTTCAGCCCGATGATAAAAACACCCGCAGCAGGTGCCAGCTGCCTTGTCAGGTTGAGAAATCATCTTTATTTAAGAACTGCCTGCTACCAGAGTCAATAAATAACTACCATTACAAGAAGTACAAGAGAGACAAACAATAGGCCAATGGAAGTGGTTCCATTTCAACAAAGATGGGGTCAGGTCGGTGGTCTGGAGAAGCCCTAGCCCTCGCCCAGCCACGAGACTAAGCTGTGCAGGCCCTGGATGGGGCTGGGTCAGTTGGAGTCTAGGGGCCAAGGCAGGGTGCACCCCAGCTAAGGATACTCGGCTTCCTGGGCCTTGGGGCAACATTATCTGACCTATTTGTTTTCCTCCCTGGCTTCCCTTTATTATCCTGCCTTCCTAAAGTCTATGACCCTATATACAGCTACCAGGCTCCTCTTTCCATGGAGCTTTTAGAAGTCCCTTAAACATGCCCACCTAGTCCCTCACACCACGCCGGGAGCCTCTCTGGCAACCTCAGTCATCACAGGATGACACCCAGGGTAGGTCTGACCTGGGAAAATGGGGCACCACACTTGAGCCTCAAAACGAAGTTTGAGAAGTCTAGCCCTCTGACCCGAAGATGCCCAGCTGGCCGTCACATGTCTGAGCCAGGAAGAGAAAAGGGGGTCCTCTGGGTGGGGAGGAGATGAAGGAATACAGTGTCCTCAGCCAGCTTGGGCTCTTGCCCAGGGTAGACCAGATGGCCCTGATACTGTTGAGAGACAATGTCCTCCACAAAATGCCTGAGGTGAGCTTTCCCCCTTGGTGACTGATGGCTGTCCCCACCCGTACGGGAAGGAGCTGCAGCAGAAAGGGGCTCCAAGACTTGGCGCTAGAGGGACATTCAACAGCATGCCCTCACACACCCAGACTTCACCTAACCTAGACCCCAGGCCAACAGCTGTCCAAATTCCTTAAAGGTCCCTAGAAAAGGAAGAAGCCTCTTAATTACTCACCTTAGGGCCTCATTGCAGAAGCTCTTCCTGATGTCTAATCTCAGATCTCCTGTTATTTTATCAAAAGAAAAAAAAATAAAAGCCCCTCCTCATGGCCTTTCCATCCCGTGGCCCATCTGTATCATTTCATGGCCCGGCTGGACCGCGAGACCTGATCTGGAGAGAACTCCTGTCCCCCTGAAGGCGAGGTATACAAGACTGTTAGAGCAATGAGGACTGAGTAGCCAAGACCAGGGCCACAGGGACCTGGAGGCTGAGCCCAAGTATACGCAGGACAGAGAGAGACTGTCTCCCTTGGCCCTGACTGCAGGCTGTCTCTGTCCCTAGTCCTCAAGGCACTTACTGGCCACTAAGCTGTGGGGTAAAGCACTTGTTTGTGGCTGTCCCCCTTGTCGCCGCCTCTGAGGCTTGGTGTGTGAGCGGGGAGAGATCCAAAATTGACTACTGACCACAGCAGGAGTGAGACTCAGCCCATCTGAGCAGAGACGAGGAACATCAGAGGCCCCTCGGGCAGGAAGGGGGGCTCTTTTGCCTGCATGCAAGCTCCTGTCCAAGCCTCCTCACCAGGAGACGAGTCTGTTTTATAAGCTTGCATGTCCTCAGGTCACCTACGGTCTTACTAAACCTTAATTCGTACTCTGCCCGAGCTCTCAGGCTGCAGGAGCCTGCGTTTTCGTACACAGCTCTCCATCTTCCAGACAAGTTCGATGGGGTCTTCCCGGGCTGGGTTTTCCTAGCTAAAAACCTGTCCTAGGCTTTCCAGGGGGTCTGCTTTCCTCCCCTTTGCCAATGGACCTCATTAGAACTAAGACTCTTGGTCGTAAGTGCCTTTTGACTCAAGCAAGCTCAGGGACTGCAGTCTCCAGCCTTACTGGTGACGTCCTGTGCGAAACCAGCTCATCCCTCTGGCCCCAGCATCTAGACACCTGTCCCCCTGTTTCCCCCGCTGCAGCCCAAGGCAGTGAGGCAGGACTCAGCTAAACCTTGGAAGCAGGTTTTGTACCCTCAGCATCCCCCTTGTGGTAGAGCTGGGGACAGTCCAGCGCACAGCCACAGGGGACCACCAGGAAGGGTGCTAGACTGCTTAGGGTCTCTGTGTTCAGAATGTAGTCACTTAGCTGAGCCCGCATGCACCTTGCATGGGGGGTGGGAGGTTATGGATAGGAGCAGTTGAGGAGGGTTTGGTCAGTGGCTCCAGGGAGGCGGTCCTGGGCCGGGGGGGTGGGGGGTGGGAGCAGCAGTAGCCCGGAGAAGTGGTGTGAGCTGATATTTTAAAAAAATTGTAGCGGGTAAACATCAACATAAGCCTGCCCTGGAAAAGAGAGCAGGACTTAAAAGTTAAAAACCCGTAACAAAATAGAGTTCTAACTGTAAACTACAGAAGCCAGGCTCTGGGGTCCTCGGTGGGCCTATCCCCTACAAGGGCCCTTGTGAAGGGCCACCTGTCACAGCATGGGCTGGGGGAGGGGGGGTGATTCCTGGTTGTGCCACCATTGCTGCCTGGATTTGTGGAATCCCTGTCCTTGTTTGGGTGCCTTTCCCTGGAGCAAGGGTAAAGGTGGCAGAGGGCTTCAAGCCAGCACTGTATGTTGAGGGCCCAGGCTCGAAAGGCGAAGGATTGGTATCTCCCGGCATTGGCCCGTGCCTTGGGCTGGGACCCAGCCATGCCGATCTCCCCACCTGAACCTCTTGAAGCAGAGTTTTCATAGCCCTTTGCCCTTCTCAACACTTTCTTAATCAGGCGGTAGCCATTCAGCACTGCCCTCTTCCTCGGGACAGACGGCCTGGGATAGGAAGTTCAGACAGGCTGTGTGACCGCGGGAAGTCCCTAACCCCTCTGTTCCCTCATCTGTAAGGTGAGGGGCTTCGGCAAGTTGGGCTCGAAAGCCTCCTCCGGCTCCGATGTCCTGTGACTGGTAATGTACCCAGAGCACATGATAGGACGCCCCTAAATTTATTAGTGCCTCTTTCTTCTGGGAAAATGCAAAAGAGCCGTTGGAGGCAGCCTGGGGGACGGGTCCTGCCAGGTGGTCCAGGGTAATGCTGGGAGAGCCAGGGCCACATGTATCCTTTGCCCTTCTCAGAAGACTCCCGACTCCAGAGCATACAGAACCGATGTCGCCTTATTGTCCCAGGCTTGAGCGAGTCAGTGCTGGAGGGTGGTGGCCCAGAGGCTGCAGGCTGAGCTGGAGGAAGTGGGTGGGCCCCCAAGGCTTGTCTCCTGTCTCCTGTCCACACCTGGAGGGACCGTGCAGGATGGTGGGGTGGGGAACCTCCCCGAGATAAGCCCTTTAGTCACTCTGCCACCTGTCGTGGCTTCTGTCACTTTGGGAGTGATAGGGTCAGGTTGGCAGTGATGGCTAAGAGGGCAGCGTCACCTGCATTGGGACTGTGCCTTTGGGCCAAGCCTGGTGCCCTTTTCCACCAGGTGTCCCCACTTCTCAAACCCTTTTAGCTCTTACCCCCGACAGTCTGGAATCTCATCCCCCAAAGCTCTGGCTTCTGGCCTCGGACTTTGAGGCACCGGTTTTCTGCCACCTGCGTAGGCTGTCATCAAGGACAATGTCAGGGTCCAGCTGTGCTGCCCCTCGAGGAAGTAGGGGAGTTCTTTGTCCCAGGTTTGGCCCTGTTCCTATGCTGAGGGACGCCGATATCTATGCTCTGCCCTACTGCGTTTGCGTCCAGTGTTCCCACCGCGCCAGACACTCCGCTGTCAGGGAGCAGAGTCCATCTCCCCGCATGTGCAGATGCACATTTCAAACCCCCTTCTTCCTATGGGCTTGTTGCTTCCATCCAGGCGCCCCGGAGGACCCAGGCATAGGGTTCAGTATCATCATGGAAGTCACTGCCTGGTGTCTTTTGACTTAAAGAAGAAAAAAAAAAATCCTTGCGCGGGTTTTATCCTGTGGCAGAATATGAAATATCCTACCTCCTACGAAAAGGGCACTGTTTAAAATAGGTATTGAAAACCAGCCATTGTCAGGCACAGTGTGGGGCCACCTTGGCATCAGGAAGGGACCAGGGCCAGCTGGCTGCGTCCATCAGAGGTGGGTGTCCGGCTGTGGCAGAGGTGGGGGGAGGGCGCCATGATCAGAGCTCCAGGTAGGCTACAAGGATCAGCATCGCCACGGACGGGGAGAGGATGGCGCCGGGACGCGGGGCTGGGCAGATCGCTGAGTTCTCCACCATCATGCTTGTGCCTGAAACCAGCGGGTGGAAGAGCGGGGACTGTGTCCAGTGGACTCGGGGCCAGCCGGCCCCGCCCTCCTGCCCCACCCTCAGGACAGGATCCAGACCTTTGTTAAGGAGACTCGGGGTGGGCCATTTTAGGGCCCAGAAGTGTTCTCAGGCCTTTTCCTACAGCGTGCTGTAAGGCCTGTGCTTTTGTGGCCTTCAGACTGGCCCTGCGCCCCATGAAAGGAACACACTCCTCTGTGGCCTTCGGGGATGTTGGGGCTGGCGGGGGGTGCTGGCTGGCAGTTCCAACGCTATTACACTTGGTTCCCGCCTACCTTCCCCTTCCCCCCAGGGGTCTGGCTGGGGTTGGTCTGGGTGGGAATGATTCCTTTGTCAGGCATCTAGATGGACCCTGATACTCCGGGGGGATAAGGTTCGGGGGAAAGACAGCACCTCCATTCCTCACGATGTGGACTTCTGCTGGGATCCCATCCCCTCCAGGTCCTGTGGTCCGAATCTGTACCAGGGCATGACCGATGTCTTCAGGAACTGCGATTTCTATCCAGTTCTTGCTGGTGAGGTGGAGCGTGGGAGCTGGGTGCAAGTCATTCTGGTACAGCATCTGTGGGATGGACGTTAGCCAGGGAGAGTTCACTTACACCCGCCGATTCTTCTCTCTCCCCCAGCTCTGGGCCCTGGGAGGAGCCCATCTGGTTCCGGTCCTTGCCCTTCCTGTTTCCCGTTGACCAGGGCCTGGCTCTTGAACAAGCTCCTCGCTGATGGGAGGAAAGCTTGCGAGCAGCTGAACCGTCTTTGCTGACTCCCTAGGCTGGAAGGACCCTTGGACTTCACCTAGTCCCGCCCCACCCCCTTGAACCCTGCCTTCCCGCAGTCAAGCCTTCTGCCCCCTCTCTTGTCTCTGCTACAAGCCATTCGTGTATTTTGTGGCTCTGACGATCACAAACTCTGCTTAAGTCGGACTCAGAGCGCTCTTACTATAAACTGCGGCTCCCTGTGTCCCCTGGAAATATGGATCGCTGTTCCTGTCGTTTAATGCCCGGTTGATCCCTTCCTTACCTTATAGCCTGTGACCGCAGACTCATTTCGGAGAGGAACCACAGGATCCCACTTGATACTAAGACCTGAGCTTGAGAAGGTCCAGGAGATGTTGCCAGGAGGCCGCTGTGGAGCTGCCGGGAGAGGGAGAAGGTTGGGAAACGTTCCAAATGATTCCTCACCAGCCATCCCCTGGCCTTAAGCCAGCCTTTTTCTAAGTGTCTGGCCCCAACAGGACCTATACCCAGAACCTTCTATCTCAGCTGCCTAAGAAACAAACCACATGAAAATCCAAAGGCTGGAGAAGGGAGAGGTGCTTCAGCGGCCCTGAATTCTACTCCCTCTTTTCATGTGTCTTGCTGCCTTGTCTCTGTCCAGCGTGGGGTTTGTGGGCTAGAGCATTTGTCTCCATCGCTGGGGAAAGAGTGGTGCTAGAGCCACCCGCAGCCCCAGAAGACAGACTCACGGGGTTTCATGGTGGTGGCATTGGCAGAAGGGCTGGCGGGTCCGGTGCCCGCTCTGTTGTAGGCCCGCACGGTCACGTGGTACTTGGTGTTGGGGTGCAGGCCAGTGACTCGGGCACTGGTGTCCAGCCCCGCTGTCCTCACTCGGTCAGCGGCTGCTTCCTTGTCCCCGGCTTTCCAGTAGCGGATCTGAAGGGGGCAGGGGTACCCTAGGGTCAGCAGTCAGGCCCCAAGTCAGTTAAGTGTCTGACTTCAGCTCAGGTCATGATCTCAAGGTTTGTGAGTTCCAACCCCACACTGAGCTCTGTGCTGTCAGCACAGAGCCTACTTCAGATCCTCTGTCGCTCCTTGCTCTCTGCCCCTCCCCTGCTCGCACTCTCCCTTTCTCCTAAATAAACATTAATTTTTTTAATTTAAAGAATACAAAATGCATATCTTTACTTACAAAGCAGTCCCCCCCACACCCTCTTGCCCCATGAGCTTATAATGGCTGCCCAATACATATGCAAACCATCTGTTAAATATTTGTCCACATCAAGGGCAGTTTGGTGTTACCTCCTGGGTGGGGCCTGCCTTGCCCACTGTGCTCCAAGCCAGAGCTAGGTATCACCGGGATCCCTACCGGACCCTTCTCCCTTACGCAGTGACGTTTCTTGCCCGTCCTTCCTTCCCTTCCTGGTGCTCCCCCTTGCTCTCTGTCCACCCCACAAGGTGCCCCAGTGGGGAGTCACTTGGGTCTCAGAGCTCGGTACAGAGTCTGCTGAGCCCCCAGTTCCCAGGAACAGGGCGACCAGCGGGCACAGAGAGGGGGCCATGCTCTTCTCTGCAGGCTGAGAACACGAGGCTAACCGGGCTTTGGCATGAAAGGGGCAGGCCGACTCCCAGAACCTCCTCCTCCCCCTCCCCTGGGCTCGCATGGCTTCCAGTGCTGGCTCTAGGCAAGCACTTCACTTCAAGGCTGTCCGTGGGTCAGTCTTTTGTGCTGGACATCAGCCACAGGGGCTTGGCTAAGGCTGCATGGCCAGGATGGCACAGACTGCATCAGTGAATGAGTGACCCCAGGACGAATGACTAGTGAGCTGTGAGGGGACCCAGCCCCCCTTCCTCCCCGGGCCCCAGGTCAGTGCTCACCTCATACCCCAGGAGGATGCCATTCATGTCTTGCTGCACAGGTTCCCAGGTCACGTTCATCTCTGAGGATGAGACCCCCTTGGCCCAGACCTTGGTAGGGGCCACCCTGGGCTCTGGGGATTGATACAGAACTGGCTTGGATTCCCCAGGCCTCCCTGTTTCCTACAGAAACAGAGCTCTTTCCAGAGACCCTCCCTCCTCCTTCTCCCAGGCCTGAGGGGGACAGAAGGGAGCAAGGGCTAGGAACACAGCCAGGTGCCGTTCCCCCCCCACCCCCCAGCGGGGAATCGAGCCAGGGTGTGAACAGCCTGCTCCCACCCCCACCCCACGGCCCGGCAGGTGCGGAGGGGGCCTCCCACCTTCCTCAGCAGAGTACACAAGCGCCACGAGGCTCTCGGGCCCATCCCCGCGGCGGTTGTAGCTGCGGATCTTGACCTCGAAGGGTGTGTAGGGCTGGATGCTGTCATTGCTGTAGACGAAGTGCTGGGCGTCGGCGCCGGGCACCCGCGCTGTCTGCCAGCTGGTGCTGCCCTGCCTGCGGAAGGACAGCAGGTAGCCGAAGCCGTCTCCGTTCTGGTACTCCCGCGACATGGGCTGGGGGGCAAGAGCGCGTGGCATGGGCGAGGGGCCGTGGTGGCTGCATCTCCCTGCCCATCCTCCGGCCCCGCCCAGCCTTCGCCAAGAAGGGCAGCCCGGGACACCATGTGCCACGGTGGGTGCGAGGGGAAGGGACGGGATGTGGCCTGCTCTGGGATGCACGGCGGCTCTGTCTGGGTCCTCTCTACACGCTGCTTGAATCTGGAGATGAGTCAGGATGGGGGAGGAAGGAAAGGACCATCTCTGTCCTCTGTCCCTGCAGCTTACCGTCCAGTTGAGGATGAGCTCTCCAGGGGCTCCACCCCCTCCGCTGAGTCCTGAGGGTGCCACTGAGGGGGCTGTCGGGGCCAAGGGACACAGATGTGGCTTGTTAATGGGCAGTGAGGGGGCAGAGGCCTCCGTCTGTGCCTGTGAAGCAGACTAGGACGGGGACATCCCTTCAAACTGGCTCTAGTTTTGTCCTCTGGATGTGGGCTCTGGAGTCAAGGCAGACCTGACATCAAATCCCATCTCTGCCACTTACTACCTGTGTTTCCCGGGGCAGCTTACTTAACCTCTCTGAGCCTCTGATTCCCCTCTCCATAAAATGAGGATAATAATGTTTCTCTCAAAGGTCTGTAAGAAGGATACAATCAAACAGGACAGTGTCAGGCTTGTATGACAGGCCATGCTCTGGAATAGCAGGTGCTCCATAATGATCTTTGTCTTCTCTCTAGTCAGTTTCAACTAAATAGCAGACAACTCCAATTTGCTTTAAAATAAGGGGAAGAATAATCCAGAGCTGGAGTTATTGCAAAAGATATTTCTTTGGGGTTGCAAAGTGTTTTATTATTATTTTTCCTTTCATGGCAGATTTCCCTAATTGTCTCTGTTATTCAACACAGCCGATATTAAAACAAGACCATTTAATTAGATCACGAATCTTGGCAGGGGGGTAACTTGGCAGAGGGTCAAACAGTTCTGCAGAGAACACAGCAGTGGGAAACTTATCACTCGATTCTGATGACTGTAGTTGAGGGCCTTGTAAGGGGTGCTTAACAGCTCAGAGCAATTAAGTGACTTGCCTGAGGTCACACAGCTAATGAATGGCACAGTTCAAATTTGAACTCAACTCTTCGGATTTCAAAGCCTATCATCTTTCTTTTGCATCATCGTTGTTTTTGGCTCACCAACTGGGATACCAGAATGGAGACCACTCCCTACCCTGCATTTGATTCTTTAAGGAATTCATTCAAATTCCTTACTCAGGAGAGGTACCAGCTAAAAATGTCGACTGACTGGAGAGTTGGCCTGGGGCCCATGGGAAAGCATGTTTAAGGGACACAAGAAGTTGGACCCTTACTACATATCAAGGGTGGGAGGCTTGGGTGGGTGGGCAAGGTCCTTGCCAGTCTCAGGCAGGACCCCAGGTCATCTGGACCTTTATCTGTGAATGTCTCAGAGGCAGTGTGTGGGGGTGTGTGTTCCTCTCCTGGGTTCTCTCCCTTGCCTCCCCCACTCAGGTTCTGACACCCACCTGCCTTTCAGGGAACTTGTGGGAAGATTGTCCATTGCATCTCCTCCCAAAGAAACAACCTAAAGGACTTAAAGACACTGACTGCTTCCCTACACACACACACACACACACACACACACACACACCTTCCGCATTAACTGATTTTAGCGGCTCATGAACTGCTAGGTAGGATACCTGCCCATCAGCCCATGGTCCTCAGTTAAAGTCCAGGCTCTGCCAGTGTGACACTTTCCTTCTCCAGACTTCAATTTTTTCCATTAAAAAATACTTAAACCTTTTATTTTGAGATAACTGTAGATTCACCTGCAGTGGTAAGGTTGGCTCAAATTTTTTTTTACTTCTATTTTTTAAAAATGTTTATTTATGTATTTTGAGAGAGAGGGAGCAGGGGAGGGGCAGAGGGAGAGAGAGAGAATCCTAAGCAGGCTCTCTGCTGTCAGCAAAGAGCCCAGCGTGGGGCTTGATCCCATGAACCATGAGATCATGACCTGATCTGAAATCAAGAGTCAGATACTTAACCGACTGAGCCACCCAGGTGCCCCAGGTTGGCTCATTTTTTTAAATGAGGGGTTTGGGGTGCCTGAGTAACTCAGTCGGTTAAGCATCCAACTCTTGATTTGGGCTCAGGTCATGATCTCACGGTTGTGAGATTGAGCCCCACATCAGGTGCTAAGCTTAGAGCCTGTTAGGGATTCTCTCTCCCTCTCGCTCTCTCCCTCTCCTCCTTGTCTCTCAAAATAAATAAACACACACAAAAAAATAAAGTAAAATGCAGCAAGGGGTTTGGACTAGAAGGCTCTTGCAGCACTCACGGGCCCAGGCTATGGCCCAGGGCCGAGTGTGTTGTGCAGAGCAGTAGCCCTGCCTGCCTCACGTCCCTTTCTCCTCTCTTGTGTTAGAGTCTGAAGCCTGGTGAGGAGGGTTGGAACTCCGCGTGGCTGTGGCCTGCCTGGGGCTCTCTTGGGTCTGTGCCCTGACGTTGCTGCTCTTTGGGACAGACACCTACAGCTCTGACCTGCTTCCTTGGTCCGGATTTTGCTGGAGGGCCCACTGGGCTCCCCGGTGCCCAGGATGTTGCTGGCTAAGACCCGGAACTCATAGTCCATCCAGGGGGTGAGACCCAGCACCTGGGCGGTCTCGGCGTTGCCCTCAATGTTGGCGGGATCTGCAAGACACCGAAGTCAGTGTGCCCACACTCGTTAGTCCAGACGGAAAGGGCAGGGACTGGGTCCGACTCACCTCATCATATCCAGCCCTCACGGTGGTGCCTGCCATGCACTCAGTGCTCAACACGTCTTTTAGAAATAATGGGGAAACTAGTAGACTCCCCTGCCGGGGAGCCTTTGTTGTGCTGTGTGCATCAGTGGGGGCCCCAGTAATGATCTGCCAATGCTCCGAGGGCACAGACGGAGACCCTCCCCTTCTCCAGTTCTCTTCCACTCTCTTGCCGGCCATATGACCACCTCCCCCAATGGCCCGGGAGCCCCTTGCAGGCAGAGGACCTCAGGTTGTACCCCTTTGAAGTTCCAGGCTCAGCCAGGCCTCATCAGCACCGGCCTAGGTGGAGCCTCACACTTACTGGTCCGAACCTGCTTCCACTTCCCTGCAGGTGGAGTGCGGGCTTGCAGGGTGTACTTGGCAATGGGGCTGTGGTTGTCAAAGCCTCGGCTCCAGCTGAGCTGGACGGTGGTGTCACCAATGTTCCTCACCACCACACCTCCCGGGGGACCCGGCGGACCTGCACCACAGAGAGCACACTGGGTCAGAAGTGGGCAACCTCAAAATTCGAGCCAGCCAGGCTGGCTTGGGCTGGTGCAGTACCAAGAGTCGGCAGCAGAGGGCGCAGCAGACACACATGAGGTGGGAGGGCGGCGAGTGGCAGATGGGGGTTGGAAGGTGGAAAAGATGTGTTCAAGGCTGGAGGGCATCACAGAGGCCTTCCCATAGAGATGTGTACAGATTTCCCAGCACTAGGCTTTGAAAACTGGCCTCAGCAACGTTCTTCAGTCTTGGGAAGTGGATTTTTACAATTCATTTGGGACCTTTGAAAAACCACAGGATAAGTTCGACTCCTGGAACTTATCTCAGAAGCCCTTCCCCCACAGCTTTTGGGGAGTGGAGGAGAGTTAGGAGTGAAGGTCAGAAGAGCCTTCTGAGGGAGGCTCAGAGGGAGTGGGGGGAGGGGTGGGAAACCCCATCACCTCGGACCAGGACCGTGGCCTCCTTGGATGCGCTGTCCACCACCGTCTGGGCCATGCACGTGTACTTCCCGCCGTGGCGCAGCTGCGCATTCAGGATGGTCAGATCCCCCACCGTCTCCTTCTGCACATGGGGGACAGGAGGGCGGGTGCAGGTCAGAGGAAGGAGCCCTGGCTGGTGCAATGAACTAGCTGTGAGCCATGAGGCAGGGCTCGGAGTCCCCTGCTCCGTTATGTCCGTGGACCCCTCGTCATCTCAGAGTCTCTGTCTGTTCAGCGGGTGGAATCAGCTAGCCCCCACTTAGTACCACGGGACTAAGCAACAGTTTGTAAGTGAAGAAAGGAAGCCATGGTCCAAGTTAACGAGGTCATTTGCCCTGGGCTCAGGATAACGAGAACAGTAGAGGGGAGGGAGTCTTGCTGGGTGCCTGGCATTCCACATTTGTCCCTAACCCTCTCCTAAATCCACAGCCTTTGGGTAGAACGCTGGGAACTGCCTTCGAAGGGAGGGTGGTTCTTCCGAGTCTAAGGGTAAGCTTGCCATGCATGGCATTCCTGAGGGAACGGGGAAAGGCTTTGGGGGTGGTCATGGTCAAGGACATCTTGGGTCCCCTGTCTGTCCAGAAGAAGGGAAGAACCCTTCTGGGTCGTCTGGTCTTACCATGCTGGCCCTCCGGTAGTGACCCCCAGGCTTGTCAAAGTCGATAGGGAAGTCGTCCAGGGTCCAGATGAAGGTGAGGTCCATGGTGGGGTCGTGGGAGGCGTGGCACTGCAGGGTCAGGCTGTCCCCCAAGTTGATATCAGCGCTCGAGGGGGCCAGAGTGATCTTGGTTGCGTCTGCCAAGCAAAACAGGGCCCCCGGGTAGATGGGGAGGAAGGAGGCCCGGGCAGGGGCAGGGGGCAGGGTGAGGGGGTGTGTCCTGAACGCCAGGAGAGAGAAGAGGCAGCGCGGCCAACAGGATCTTGACCTCCCGGCAGGCAGCCTGCAAGTGTGTGGAGTGGAGGCAGGAGTGGATTCTGGATGGTGGTGGGGAGATGGTCCCAAATGAAGCCTCAAAACCAAACCCAAGCCAAAAGGAAGGTGGGAACACAAGAACAGGGTGTCAAGGAGGGACTGGGACCCTGTGGTGGCTGAGCCCCCCTTCCCCCCACCAAGCCACACCCCTCACCTCGCACAGACAGAATGCCCGTGCTGTTGGCTTTGCCCATGAAATTCTCAGCAAAGCAGGTGTATTTGCCTTCATCTGACCGACTGATGTTTCTTATAATCAAGGTGCCATCCGGAGTCACGGTCACTCTGTGGCAAGGAGAAAGCAGGTGTGGCCGACCGAGGGCCACGCTGCGGCTGGCATGGGGAGGGGCCTCGCCTTCATGGTGGACGAGGAGGAGCAGGATTGCCCCGGGTCGAGCCGGGTTCGTACCTGCTGCTGTTGACCAGAATCTCGGTGCCTTTGCTCCAGAGCACCACAGCCTTTGGGGCCGCCCGGGGCTGACAGGGGATGACAATCTCTCCCCCGCGGGCTGCGGGGATCAGGCGCTTCACGGGGTTCAGCCTGAAGTCAGGGGCCAGTGCTAGAAGGAAAGTGAGTGCCCTGCAGTCACCCAGGGAATCCCAGTACCTGTTGCCCTTGATGAAGGGGTCACCTGACTCCACGCGGAACATTTTACCTCTCCCCTCCCAGGCCAGTGCATGAGGGACTTCCAGCAGCACCAGCGCTAAAACACACCCAGAATCCAGCCCCTTCCCATCGCCCCGCCCCCACTGCCACCACGCTGGTCCAAGCCACCAAGTCTCCTGCCAAACTATTGAAAAGCCCCCTAGGAGGTCTTCCTGTTTTTGCACCTTCTTTCTATAATATTCTGCTCCACCCAGCAGCCTGGCATAGCTTTTATGAAACTTAAACATGCACTCAGGATGAAATCCAAGGTTGGCACACAAATAGGACTCTGCCTCCCCCTCACATCGCATGCCACTCTCCCTCATTTATTATGCTCCAGTCACCTTGGGCCATTTGCTGTCCTTTGAGGTTGTCAAGATTGTTCCTGCCTCAGGGCCTTTGCACTTGCCATTTGTCTTGCTTAAAAATCCCTGAGATCTTCACATGGCTGGCTCCTTGTTAACACTCAGGTCATACCCCAAATGTGACTTCCTCAGAGAGGTCTCCCCTGACCATCCCATCTAACTGGCCCCACCTTACTCCTACCGCTCTGCTAGATTTTTAAAAAATGTTTATTCGGTTTTGAGAGAGAAAGAGAAAGGGAGGGGCAGAGGGAGGGGTACAGAGGATCCAAAGAAGGGTTTGCGGTGACAGTAGAGAGCCTGATGTGGGGCTCGAAGGCATGAACCGTGAGATCATGACCTGAGCTGAAATCAGATACTTAACCAACCGAGCCACCCAGGTGCCCCTAGATTTTCTTTATACTGTATTTTTTATGGCTGTCCAAAACCAGCTTATTTAATTATTTGATTTTCTGATCATTCCTCTCTCTCAACTGGATTGTAAAATACTTGAAGATTACGTGAATATCTTTCACGTTCACTCCTTAGGAGCTGTTGAATAAATACTGGTCATATGAACAAAGAAATGCATGAGTCTTAGTTACGTTCACTCCAATTTGATGAGATAGGTATCATTATATCCATTTTACAGATGAGAAAACTGAGGCCCCATGAGCTCAAGTCACACAATGAAGGACACCAGCGGCAGCTGGCATCTGTTATGTGATGGCCAGTTCCTTTATGCTTTACCTCTATCTCATTAAATCCTCCAAACAGCAGTATCAGGGCAGGACTTTTATTGCCCACATTTTATAAATCAAGAAGCCGAGACACAAGGAGATTAAGTTGCCAAAGTTCACATAGCTGAAGGCAGTGGTTTAAATACACATCAAATTGACTTGGTTTCCAATGGCTTTTGCCACCTTTCTTTCACTGCAGCAAACACTGTAGCCGGGCCGGGATATGGAACAAGTAAGGGACTCCGTCTTCCAGAAGCACTCAACCTAGTGTCTCCTCTCCTTTCTTAAATCCCTGTCTTCTACTCGGAAGGCGCTGGAAAACTAAGGGAAGCCACCAGCGTGTGTTTAGAAATGCCACAGCTCAGGGGCACCTGGGTGGCTCAGTCAGTTGAGCGTCTGACTCTTGATTCTGGCTCAGGTCATGATCTCACAGTTTGTAGAATCAAGCCCCGCATCGGGCTCTGTGCTGACAGCATGGAGCCTACTTGGGATTCTCTGTCTCTCTCTGCCCCTCCCTGCCCCCAAAATAAATAAACCGAAATATAAAAAAGAAAAAGGAAAAGAAAAAGAAAGGAAAATACCAGCACTCAGAGCTCCTAAGCACCCGCCTGTGTGTCCCTGTGGGTGTCCCCTGCCTCCCTGGGCCCTGTACCTTGCACGGCCAGCTCAGCACTGGCATAGATGGTGCCATGCTTGTTCTCTGCCACACACTGGTACATGCCGGAGTCCTCCAGGCTCAGCTTGGAGAACCGCAGATCCCCAGCCACCACTTCCAGGCGGTTCTGTGCAGGAGAGGGCAGAGTCGGGGCATCAGGACCACTGGCGCACTAAGGGGGAGGGGCGGGTGCAGCAGAGATGCTAGGCGGCACCTCCTACTGAGGGGCTCATATGCCCTGTGTCCTCCGGGGCCTCCTGGAGTCCTAGGACTGAGCTTCTCCAGGCCTCCTGCACCCTCACCCCCCTGCATATCAGCACACTGCAGCCAGAGGGACGAGGTGACCTACTTAGGGCAGCACAGTGATTTTGTGACTGGGTTGTGCCTGGATCCAGGTCTCTGGAACCTCTAGTCAGGACCCTAGCCAGTTGACCAGCCTGTGGCCATGTGAATCTGGGGTGGAAAGAAGCACCTAGAACCAGCCACCCAAGGCGCCCTCGTTGTCCCAGAGAAGCTGCCAATGGTGGTACAGGCTTGGGTGGGGGGAGTCTGGAAGGTGAGGGGACCAGGTTGGTGTGCAGGAAGCCCCGGGTGTCCTACCTGGGAAGCCAGAGGCTCCCCGTTCCTCAGCCAGCGCACTGTGGGCCGGGGCTTGCCAGCCGCTGCACAGCCCCAACGCAGGTTGGAACCGATGTCAGCCTCCATGTCGGAGATCACCTTGAGCCACTCCGGCTGAGCTGTGGGGAGCAAGGGAGAGAAAGATCTGGGGATGAGCTGAGAGGAGCCCCCCTTTCACAATGGACCAGGATCGCAGGGCTACAGTTCCTGTAACAGACAGCAGAGGGCGCCATCAGCATTCCGGGAAAGGGTTTGGGGGCTGTGAGACGCAGGCTGAAGGTCAGCACTTCGTGTCTGTGCCAGTGGCTGTTTGAGCAACTTAAATCATTTTAAAGCCTTCCATTGCTTTCTGCAACCCTGACTAAAGCTCTAGCTTCTTCTGTTCCCACCCCCAGTGCAACCCTGGGGCAAGAAGGCTTAAGCAAGGGGCCACCCAGTCCCTCCCTGACTTTTGGATCCGCTTCCTCAGGGATAAGAGTGAAGAAGGCTGGGGGAGAGGGGACCCCAGCTCTGTACCCTGCACGATGATGCGGCCCTGGACGGTGTCGCGGCCCTTGGAGTTCTCTGCCTCACACTCGTAGGTGCCCTCATCCTCGAAGCTGACGCTGGGTATCTGCAGGGTGGGCTCGGCTGTGGCCCACTGGGGGGACAAGGAGCCGTCCACTTTACGCCACTTGATCTGAGGGACAGGGCTGGTGGGGAAGACAAAGCCAGAGCGGGTTTGCTATGCTGGGTAGACGGCCCTGTGCCTGCAGCTTCTCACACACAGACTCTCTCCTGAGTGCCGGGCAGGTGGGGATGTGGACTCGGGTCTGGACTCGGGTCTGGGAGGGGACAGAGGGAGAGAGGCAAGGGGGAAGGGAGGGGCCGGCCTCTTCCAGACAGGCTCAGAGCACAGGTGGGAAAGTGGCAAGAAGTAGGGCCCCTCTCTCTCCTCCTCTCCCCTGCAATAATTGTGACACCCGTGAACTTGGTCTTCTGTGTGGCCTGTACCCTGAAGCTGACTTGCTCTCCCCACTCCCACCCTGCACTGACCACCATGCTTCTTCTGGGACTGCCCTCCTCAGCAGTGGCTTGTAACTTGGGATTTTATGGGGTCCCCTCCCCGCTCTCCCCAACAAGGCCTTGCCTCTGCTTTTCAAAAGGGCTGTAGTCATTAGTATCCTGTGTACTAAAATGGACTGAATTATCAGTGACTCTTAAAGGGTTAACTTATTACCCTCTCATGTGCTTTAAATATGAATTTTCTGGAAATCCGATAACTATTCACCAAGCAGTGGACATCCTGGGTAACCACAGGAGATATTGGGGAACAGAGGACCGATGTACAAATCACATTAATTGTTCTACAGACATTTGTTTGAGCACCTGCTCTTTGCTTAGCCCTGTTCCAGTGAATCCTTCTTCTAGGAGAGGAGATTTCTATCCCAATTTTTAAAAAGATAACTGTCAGCACTCATAGAACACTTACTAAATCCAGGCCCTGTGCTAAGCACTTCACATAGAAGTACTATGATTATTACTATGTACAAATAAGGACAAAGAGGCACAGAGAGGTTAAGTAGTTTACCCATCGTCTCCCAGCCAGCAAATGACAGAGCTGGGATTTGAACCCAGCATGCCAGGTTGGGGTTCATACCCTGGGCTACCTGCCCTCAGCCTGGGGTGTTGCATTAGCTGTCTTGGCATGCATTGCTGGGAGGGCCCGCTGTGTGTCAGGCCCCTGGTGTGCATGGCGTCCTCACTCAGAGAGAGAGAGTGCTCAGTGAGTGGTGCTCACTATCCACTGTGGGTCCGGTGCTCTGCTAGACCCTGCGAAGGGTACCAGGATGACCGAGGGGGACCCCACCTGCCCTCTCCCGGGGGTCACCCATGCCCCTGAGGGGCTCTGACAGGGACCTCCTCCACCACTCACTTCCCGAAGGCGAAGCACTCCAGGGTGACCTGCTGTCCTACTAGCGCGTAGGTCTCTGCCGGGAACCGGGCCTTGATGCTGGGTGCAAAGAGCCTCGTGTCTGGGGAGACAGGGAGTCTGCAGATCAGGTGCAAATGATACAGGCTCGGTACTTAGGGTCTCAGCACAGCTCAGAGCTGACTCGTTCTTGACCCCCGTTCCCCTTGGGGGCCTGGCCAGGGGTCTGAGGGTCCAGGCCCCAGGCCCCAGCCTCTGCAAGCGGAGCCGCTCTTCACCTCCTCCAGGGGAGAACCCTCTTTCCCAGTGTCTGCTGACCCGTTCAGCTCCTCCCTGCCACGCCCACCAACCCTGACCTTCCGCCGCCAGGTTGAGCTGAGCGAACTTGCTGAAGACGCTCTTGGTGGAGAAGTCCATGTGGCTGGTGGCCAGGCAGGAGTAGTTGCCCAGGTCTGAGGCGTTGGTCCGGGCAATGTACAGGTTCCCCGTGGTCTGGGACACGAAGTGACGCCCATCCGTCGGGATGAAGTTGGGGAACTCGTTGAGGAGCCAGCGGTAGGACAGGCCTATGTAGGGTGTGGGGGCTTTGAGGAAACCGTGGAGCGCTGGGCTGATGGGGCAGCTATGGGGGGGGGCCCTCAGCGTGCTGGTGGGGATCCCTGGACCTAGTTCTGAGAGCCCCGTGCTTGGAGCTGGCGCTGAGGGGAGACCCAGAAGGAAGATGTGACTTTACTCCTGCCCTCGGGGTGCTCCCAGTCTGAAGGAGGAGGCAGGGAACCGAGCTAGAGAATGACAGACTCACAACAGAAACACAAAATCATTTTGAGTTGGGGACCCAGGGATCAGTGCGTCCAAGGTCACTCAGTACCTTTTCCTTCGTCCCTTCTCTGCTGAGTGGCTCAAAGCCCCTCCTGCGCCCTCTGTCCAACCTTGGGCCAGGGTCCCGACTCACCTGGGTAGTGGGCAGGTGGGTTACAGGGCAACATCACCCCCCAGCCTTCGTGGGTTTTCACAGGGTCCCTCTCCTCCTTGGAGAACTCCTGCAGAACTGGAGGTAAAGATCCGGCACTTGGGCACCGTCTCCGAGCCTGGGGGCCTCCCGCAGTTCAACCTCCCCGGGAAGTAGTCACCTGCCCTTTCCAGACACTTTCCCCGGCTCTCTATCCCCCGTCCCCCCACCCCCGGAGCATCCTGTCACCCCTGCAGGTCTCACAGCCAAAGCGGAGCACAGCCTCCCTGCTGACGATGGTGCCCACGGGGTTGGAGGCCAGGCACTGGTAGACGCCGGCGTCCTGGGCCTTGGTGGGGTTCATGATGACCAGGTTCCCCCCTACCAGCTGGTGGCGGGACCCTGGCTCCAGCTTCATCTCGGTGCCATTCATCTTCCACCTGCAGCAGGGACAGAGAAGACCCTCCTGGACCCAGCCTGGTGGCAGGGCTGCTGTGAGGCCAAACTTCCCGGCTGCCCAGGGCCTCCCAGCACCCACCATAGGGGGGTCTCACCTATAGGTGGCTGGAGGGCTGGCCCGGGCACGGCACGCTAGCGTCACCTTCTCCTCAGTGGACTCTTCTGGGAATAGCAGACCGAGGGGCTGATCTTCAAAGACAGGCCCAAAAGTGGCCGGGGATCCCCGGGCTGAACTCCAAGCTGTAGGTCGGGAAGGAGCACCAGTGGCCTCAGGCCTGGGGCCCAGCAGGACACTGCTGTCCAATAGAACTTTCTGCGATGATGGAAAGGTTCCATTTTCTGCACTGGCCACTACGGTAGCCACAGCCACCTGCTGTCAAGTCCTTGAAACGTGGCCAGTGCAGCTGAGAAACCAAATTTTAAATTTTACTTCATCTTAATTAATTGAAACTCGAATTTCAGCGGGTTGGGCTGGTTCCGGCTGGCCAAGTTCATTGTGTCAATCACCCATGCCACACTCAGGTATTGAGCACCTGCTGTGTACCCGGCACTGGGCTAGACTATGTTGCGAAAAGGAATAAGACACGGTCCCTCTTCCTCAAGGGGCCTGCAGCCCAGGGAGGGAGGTACTAAAGGATGGGACAGGATGGTGAGGACTGTAAAAGCTGCTGGGAGTTCTAGATGCAGGGGCCCTCGGGGTGGGGGCAGCTGGCCTGCAGGGTGTGAGGCGCATGGGAAACCACCGGTTAAGGAGGAAGAGAGACAATGTTTGTCCCTGGAGCCTAATTAATGCTCCTTCCGGCCAATGGCCAGTGCTCTGGCTCTTGGTCTCTTATCAGCTGTTATAGACCTCTTCTGAGCCTCAACATCTTCACCTGTAAAATGGAAAGAATACAAACTCACCTTCCAGGGTCTGTAGGAGTGTTCAGTCTGGTACAGCGTATGTGCTCTGAAAATGTCTGCTGGACCCAAACAAGGGGCGGGATGGAGTTTAGGGGAAGAAGGAAGGCTCTGGGTGGGTAGAGCATGTGTGGGTTGTTTTGGGGGCATTTTTATTTTTATTTAAAAAAATTTTTTTTAAATGTTTTTATCTATTTCTGAGAGAGAGAGACAACGTGAGCAGAGAAGAGTCAGAGAGACAGGGAGACATAGAATCCGAAACAGGCTCCAGGCTCTGAGCTAGCTGTCAGCACAGAGCCCAACACAGGGCTCGAACCCACAAACTATGAGATCATGCCCTGAGCGGAAGTTGGACACTTAACCGACTTAGCCCCCCAGGCACCCCCTTGGGGGCATTTTTATACAAGTCCTGTGTGATAATTCAAGAAAGAGAGGCCCAGAAAAGGGGACGACTTGCTCATGGTCACAGAGCAAGACTGTGGCACACGCAGATCTAGACCCCGGTCTCTCGAATTTGCTGAATAAATGAAGTTTTCATGCCTGCCTCCCCCCCACCCCCACCCCAGGGCAGATGCCTCTTTCTTTATGCACCAGGGCAGGGGACACAGGCACGGAGGCCAGTGTTTCACACCTGCCTTCCCACAGGGGTGGGGAGTGGGCTCTCCTTGCTGACTCATGGGGCTGCCGTGCTTCGCCTTTGTGGTATCACATAGGAGCCAGGCCACCCCTAATTGGCTCCTACCCCACAATCCAGCTGACTTCAGGCCCTCCTGGGTTGTGGGGGCTGGGATCCCCATTAACCAATTAGTGCCTCCTCTTCCAGTGCATCCGGCTGTCAGCCCTGTTCCAGGGGTGGGGGTGGGGGTGCACCCCCATGCCACAGCTGAGGCCCAGCCCGGGCCCCCCCCCCACCCCCAGGGAATGAGGGCAGCTGTTCTGCAGCTCTCAGAATGAGGAAGGAGGCAGGGCTCCCTGAAATGGCATCCCCCTCCCCCTCCCCACCACCCATCACTATCCCTCTCTGCCACCCCAGGGCCTCGGGGGCGGGGGGGGGCGGGGGGGGCGGCGGCGCCAGTATCATCTCAGTTGGAGAGCCCAGCTTAATCCCAAGTTAATGATGTGGTGGGGGGTAGGGACCCCTGCTCCAGCTGGGGCTGCCAGGATGGGGGGAAAGGAGGGGTGATGGGGGGCAGCCAGGCTGCTGGGAATCACCTTGTATAATAGCAGCTTCCAGTAACTCTGCAGGCATGGCAGGGGGGTGGCTGAATGGGCCTGAGGCACACTGATACTCTGAGACTGGCTTTCTTCCTGAAAAAGCTTTGTCCCCTGCACTCAGCCATATCCACACTCTCAGCCCGATATGTGCATTTCCGCACCTCTCACCGACACACACTTCCTCACACGCACACACACATTACACATACATGCATTCCTCTCTGAGCTACTCCAGTAGTCAGATACGCATTTATGCACACATCTGTTCCCAGGGACATCCAGCTACTCATGTCCACGTGTGCCTATTTACATATGTTCATAAGTTCATAATAATAAAAACAAGTGCTCTTTATCAAGTGCTTGTTGTTTATCGGACCCCATGCTCCATATTTCTTGCGCATAATCTCTTTATGAGACAAGTATTGCCGTTTCCTCATTTAACTCATGGGGAAACTGAGATTTAGGAAAGTTAAATAACTTGTTCCAAATCGCACGGTGAGAAGGAGCAGACCCACGGGTTTGGACCCTAGCCAGCCTCACCCACAGCCAGCATCCTTAACCACAGTGTCCATGATTCTTGACCTCACTTCCCTATCACAACTGTCAGAGGCCCTGTCCCTTCCCAGAGGTGCTGAATCAGAATGCGTTATGGGCACTCTGAAGGGCAGCTGGGTTCAAGAGCCATCACACTTGCTGTAAGGCTTTCCATGCACATTCGTCATGCCCCCAAATGTAGCACCCGGTCCACACAACAGCCCGCTCACATTCCCACCCTCTTAAACATCCACAAACATACTCTCGCTCACCCCACACCTTCTTCTGAGGCTGTGCTCATGCCCACCCATACATCCATACACGATGGAATGTTCCACTCGTGTCCCTGGAGCTTAGGGATGTGGCAGACCAGGTCCCCTCTCCCTGGGCTTTCCTGCACCTCTGGGTCTGAGAGCCCTGCGGCTGCCCACACCGCCTGCCTATGATAATGTGGTCCCTGGTCTTGGCACTGAGTCTTCCCCAAGGGAGGGCAGCACTGAGGATCCCAGGCTCCCCTCCACTGCTCTCTCTGGGGTGGCTGTCTCCTGCTCTGCGCATCTGGGACTCTCCATGCCAGCAGCTCCTCTGGCCTGGTGGGTGCGGGGCACTGGTAGCCAGGCCTGAGAATGGGGGTGCTGGGAGCCCCCCTCCAGCCTCTAGGTTGGCTCTATTTCCTAGTAGCCTCACTGACTTGGGTGTAGGACTGGGAGAGAGTTAGGACAGAATGAGAACATCTGAAAGTATGCTAGTGGAGTACCCCCTGCCCAGTGGGACAGAGAACCTAAAATGTGCTGGCTGCAACCTTGCAGGGGATGTGGCATGGGCAGGCGGAGTCAGAGGCTGCTAGACCTCCGGAAGGGTGGTGGGGGAATGGGTCCTCTTTCTCCCATGGAGATCTTTTTTAAAAAAAGGTTTTTTTAGTGTTTTATTTCTTTCTTTTTTTTTTTAAATGTTTATTTTTTATTTTTTGTTTATTTCTAGGAGAGAGAGAGAGACAGCGTGAGCAGGGGAGGGTCAGAGGGAGAGGGAGTCACAGACTGAAACAGGCTCCAGGCTCTGAGCTGGCAGTCAGCACAGAGCCCGACGCGGGGCTCGAACCCACGAATCGCGAGATCATGACCTAAGCAAAAGTCGGACGCTTAACCGACTAAGCCACCCAGGCGCCCCTGTTTTATTTATTTCTGAGAGAGAGAGATAGCATGAGCAGGGGAGGGTTAGAGAGAGAAGGAGACACAGAATCTGAAACAGGCTCCAGGCTCTGAGCTCTGAGCTAAGTGTCAACACAGACCTGACGTGGGGCTTGAACCCACCAACCATGAGATCATGACCTGAGCCGAAGTCGAATGCTTAACCAACTGAGTCACCCAGGTGCAGCCCCCCTCCCCTCCCCAGAGATCTTTAAGGAGAAAAGAAGCATCTATTGATCTGGGCTGGGAGTCAGGGCAGAGAGGCCCTAGCTGCAGTCCCAACAGGCCTCTCAGTGCAGCAGGAGGGGGTGGGAGACCCCCCTCCGGCTCTTGGACAGGCTGGGTCTCTGGTACCTCCTTCTTGGGACACTCTTCCGAGTCTGGCCAGCCTGCGATCTGGGCCTTCACTGCCCTCTTCTTCCGCCAGCCTCCCTCCTCCCCTCTCCCTACCTCGCAGCACCTTTGGGATGGAATCCTCTGCTTGGGTCCCTTTGGACAAAAGGTCACCCCCTGCTCTGCCTCATGTCTCCTCACATCCTGTTCCACACTAGGTCCCTTTGCCAGGCTGCAGTGTGGCCCTGGGGAGCCCTCCTAAAGTTTTGTGGTACTGATCCCCATCTCCTCAAGTTAGAGGACACTAGAGCAGTGCCATCAACAAAACTTTCTGTGATGATGAAAATGTTCTATAAATCTGTGCTTTCCATATGTGGCTTGTATAACTGAAGGACTAATTTTAAATTTTAATTTAATCCCAGTTTAATAGTTTCATGCGGCCACCATATTGGATAGCACAACTCCTCAGAGGCTGTGGCTCTGGGCTGATACCACAGAGATCCAATTATGTCATAATCTTGCTGTGTGGCCCAAGGCAAGCCACTTACCCTCTCTGGATTATGCTTCTTCTACCTATATTATGGTGGAGACTCATTCCTTCTAACCTCAAGGGGAAGGTAAGATCCACAAATGGGAAAAGTTTAGCAAAGGAATGGGTCTCAGAAACCTGAGTGCCGGGGCAGTGCAGAGTCCATGATTTCTGAAGTCATTGCTAAAATAACAGCCGTGATATAATGGGATAATCATCCTACTGGACTTTGGAAATCTCTTACCTGGAGAGGAGACAAGGGCCATAGAGACTAGCAGCAGCAGGTGTGACTTCCTCCTGGTGGGTGTCCCCATGGTGGGCATTCTGGGCAGAGACGGGGACCTGAGGAGAGGAGGCTCAGCTCACAGAAGGGAGAGTCCAGCTGGAGGCTGAGAAGGACCTGGGGAGGCAGAGGATGGGGAGGACTCTGAGTCGAGGAGCGCCCCTCCTGCCTCCTGGGTCTGCACTGGTTTTACCCCGGCCTGGAGAGAGGCTGGGATTGCTCTGTGTTCATCCTCCCCAGGGCACCTGGGCGGGGAAAGGGCTTGGCTGTTAGCGAGGAGCTCTTCCCAGGCTGAGTGCCTACTACTGGCCCCCTGGGAGTCTGGCTCTGCCATGTATATGCCCCCCCCAACCTCCCCTGCAGCCAGCGGGGGCTGGCTCAGGAAGTGAAATCAGTGGCTAATTGGGAGGCAAGAACCCATCTGCCCCTCACCCCAAACTAGCTCTTGTAGAGTCCAGAAGAGAGCAGGGGCGTGCCTGGGTGTGGGTGCGGGGAACATCTTCCAGCATTTGGGGCCCAATTTTCCCAGCCCCTGCCTCCCTCGGCTGCCTGGGTGGGGGGGCGAGAAGCCCCTCTGAGACCTTCCTTTTTTAATTTTTTGAATGTTTATTTATTTATTTTGAGAGAGAGCGAGAGTGAGCTGTCAGCCCAGAGCCTGTTGAGGGACTTGATTCCACGAACCATGAGATCATGACCTGAGCTGAAATCAAGAGTCAGACTCAGACTCTTGGCCCACTGAGCCCCCCGGGAACCCCCTTTCCTTGTTTTTCTAGCAGTCACACTGGTCCATTCCCACCCTCTCACCTGGGCCCCCAGGTGAGGCACTTATGTAGTGTGTTGCATGAAGCCATAACCTTGGCCCCCATCAGCGGTGCTCCCCTTCTAGATGGACTAATGGGCCGCCACAGGCCTTCTGGGATGGAAGAGTTACTGCGGCTCCCAGAGGGCACTTGGTTAAATCCTGGAGCTCTGGAGAAACTGTTCCCCAGGTGGGGGCACCCCTTCATTGGAAGGGGAGATGGCGCCTCATCCTGAGAGGGGCAGGCAGGGCCAGCCTTTCCATCTACTCCCCATCTCCAGGCTGACTTTCTGAGGTCTGAGCAGGAAGTGTGGAATCTCAAGGGTCTGCTTTTTGGTTATAGAGGGAGACTGGGTCACTGGACCCCCAGGGCTCCCTGTCAGAGCTGCTACAGGGAGCAGGGAACCCATATGCAGATTCTGCTTCTCTGCCCTGTGGCTTTTTAGAACTCACGGAAGGGGGAGGAGACTAGAACGTGGGAGAGGGGAAGGAGGGCGGGGAGAGCCTGTCTGGGGGCTCTTCCACTACCTGGCGGTAAGACCCACACCATCTCTGGGTCTGAGTGTCGTCATCTGTAAAATGGGCGCTCTAAGGTCCCTGCCAGCTCTGAGACTCCAATGCCCCCTGACTGAGAGTGCAGGGTGGCCTCTGGGAATGCTGTCTCCTGGATGCTGGGGGAAGAAGGCAGGCTGCAGGTCCCTGAGGCAGGGCAGGGTCTGAGGACCAATGCCAAGCTCAAGATCTCCCTGTCTCACTTCATGCTCTATTCCTTTGGAAAGAAAGGGCTCCCAAACCGTTTAAAAATTTTTTTAACGTTTTTAATTGATTATTGAGAGACAGAGCATGAGTGGGTGAGGGGCAGAGAGAGGGGGAGACACAGAATCTGAAGTAGGCTCCGGGCTCTGAGCTGTCAGCACAGAGCCGGACACGGAGCTCGAACCCACAAACCATGAGATCATGACCTGAGCCGAAGTGGGACATTTAACTGACTGAGTCACCCAGGCGCCCCTCCCAAACCCTTTTAAACTTCAACATCTGGCCGCCTACAACCTTTCTCTGCTTCTTAAACAGCCAGAGCTGTCCCTGAAGGAGCTGGGGGAGCGGGGAGGGAGAACTGGTCCTGGGGTTGCGGGGAGGGGCGGGGCGGGGGGAGGGCATCAGGGCTGAGAGCTGGGTGTCGGTGGGGGTGGAGATAGGGAGTGGTGTTTCAACATAGGGTGCTCCCTCCTCAGCCCCAACCCCAGCCTCATATCCACTTCCCTTTGTCAGGAAGCCACTGGGTGCCACCTCTCCACGACTATGCACCCCTCTCTGTCCTTGCCACTTTCACCTCCAGACTTGAACCCAGGAATTCTGAACTTGCCAGGAAGCCCCTAAGATGCCACCACGTGCACACGGCTCAATGTCAGCTCTGCTCTTGACTAGACCCTTGGTGCCCACCTGGGAGGTGGGTCTGCCTCCGGTTAAAAGCTTGTGAGCCCCCCACTGGCAGGCACCGGCTCCTTCCTCCTGGTGTCACCCCCGCCCAGCAAGGTGCCTTGTGACTTGTGTGTCCCATTCAACTGATGGAGAAGGCCTGGGGCTGTATCCCCCTGCAGCCAGTGACACACAGGGTCACACGCACGCTTGCTCACACAGCGAGCTCACTAGAGAGCCCAGTCTGGGCACACCAGTCTTTGGTGCCCCCTGAGGGCAACCCCGGGGCACGCTCACACACACCCTCACACTCTCTCATGGGCTCATGTACTCACAGCCACACTCGATCGAACCCTTTCTCACACACTTTCTCACATGGACACACATACTCTGCCTCTGTCTCACATACTGGCTCATATACTTTTACACACTTCACATGCTCCCCACTCTCTTCCCCACACACATTAACATACACACTCACGTATCTTTACACACAGATACATACACACACAACCTCAGGTCTCTAGGGTCAGCAGGGTGTTTAGTCATGGAAGAATCTAAAAGTATGGTTCTGGATATTGTACAAACGCAGGGAGCTGTCCTTGTGACAGGGAGCCCCTGGGGCACTGTGAGCCATGGCAGGCTTTGGAATCCGCAGGGGAAGTCAGTGATAGTGCCTCATCCCCCTCACGGCTTTGTGAGCCTGGACAAGTTACTCCTCCTGGTGGAAGCTCATTTTTCTCCACGGACCACTTATTTCACAGGGCTCTTCTGAACGGTCAGTGAGACAATGGCGCCCCCTGCAGGAAGTCTCCGGCTGTTGGACTTGCCTTGGGGGTTACAGTTTGGGTGGGGGAAGGGAGAGAGGATAGGGCTCCAGATCCCTTCTCCCCTTCAGCCAGAGCACCTCCACTGATATCGGCTTCATCTCCTGGAAGGTCCCTGTAAACAGAGGGTTCCACAGCCCCCAAAAAGTTTGAAAACGCCCCGTGGTGCTCGTGCACCGCGTCCTGACGTCTGGCACAGAGAAGGTGCTCAATCATTGTTTGCTTCCTGCCCTTTGTCTGCCTGCCAGTCCTGGGAGCTCGGTGAGGGGGCAGGGTGCAGACTCGGGGAGGGGGGAGGAGCTCGGCTCCAGGCACTTACCCTGCGCGAAGCAGAAACAGATGACCCAAGGGGGGGGGGGGCTGAGGCTGGAGACTCCCCAGCAGTGCTGGCGAGAGTGTGTGCGTGTGTGCGTGCGCACCCGCGTGTAGGTGACATTTATTTGCATCTATGTGCTGTGTCTGTCTATCTGCCCCTGCGGATATGTATGGTCCCCTCTTGTGTCTCTGTGTATTTGCACGTATTTGTGTCTGTTTATGGGTATGTCGTGTGTGTGTGTGTGTGTGTGTGTGTGTGTGTGTGTGTGTGTCCCCGCCGAGCACAGGGTGTGATGACCAGGTTCCTGCCTTGTTTCTCTGGGATCCACCAGGAGGATCACTCACCCTGGAACACTCATCACCCGTGGTGGTCAGAATATCTGTTATCACTCCCCATGGGCAGACATCATGGATAACACAATCTCACTGCTCACTCTACAGTTCACTTTAATACAGATGTGGGCACCCTCTGGGGACTGAGATCTGCAGCCTCAGAAGAGAGAGGGGATGGGGAGGGGCTGGGATCGGGGTGCTCCTGGAGTGGCCTTTGGGGAGCACTAGAGACCAGTCAGCCCAATCAGATGTACATTGAGCTCCACTGTGTGCCAAGTCCTTGTGCGAACACACACACACACACACACACACACACACACACAGCCTGGGTCACATACACCAGGCACTGTGCTAAGCACTGGGGAGAAAGTAACAAAAACACCGCCTTTGCAGAGCCTCCTGACCCACTAAGTGTGGCCCAGTCATCTCCCTATACCATCTGCCCTGTGACACATTCTAGAATGCCCAGGGTGGAGGGTGCCTTTCTGTCAGGAGCAAGGCAGGAGTGGAGCTATGCCAGGCCCAGAGCCGGCCCTCTGAGCCCTGAGCCAGCCAAGCCTGGCCCAGGCCAGCTGCCCTGGGGCAGGGGTGCAGGCTGGCACCAGCGGGCACGGGCTGGCACAGGCAAACACAGGCTGTTACCGTCAGGGGCTGGTCCCGTGAAGCACCGGCACACAGGGGTACGGGCTGCTTGGCGGTTCAGGGGCGCCAAGGCGGGTAGGCTGAATTGCTGGGTGTGGGAAACAAAGGGCCTGGGGGATGGTGACGGGGAGGCAGGCTGTGAGCGGGACTCCAGCCCACGACAGGGTTTTCTGAGCTGAGGACCCCTGCACAGAACCAGTCAGGAAATGAAAGATACACTGTCTCAATGCTACACCCTGGGAGCCTCAGCTCCTGGCCCTGACTCTGCCTCTCCTTCCCCTCTGGATAGTGGAGATTCGAGTAGTGAAGGATTTGGTGACTTTTAGATGGGTGGTGGTGGGGTAAGGGGGAGTTTGGAGCCCAGCTGAGGGCAGAAGAGACTAACCCCGCCACTCTCTGTCTTGCAGCGCAGCACGGTGGTTAACAGTGCCAACCGGCCTGGCCCTTACTAACTAGTGAAACCCTAGTATATAACTAACTGGTAGAACCCTAGCTCTAACATTCATTACTTAACCTCTCCGAGCCTCAGTCTCCCACCTGCAAAATGGGCTCGAGCTCGGACTCTTGGGAGGTCAGCCACATTCCTGGCCCACAGTAAGTGCTCAGAAAAGACCAGAGCTCACCAGGGACAATCCTCACGGAACCTCGGCGCGGGTGCCAGCACACATGGGTCCCTAGTTGCTGCCAGAGTCAGACTCACTCCCACACGGTCATGGCATCCGGGCTGCACTCACAAGTGTTTAGGACACTGACAGCCTCCCG